CTGTGACTCCTGGCTGTTCTTTTGGTTTTCCATTGTCTATTTTGATCGTAGAATCCAGAAGGCAACAATTTCACCTATCTATATAGTACTTCCACATGCAGCTGGCATACCTTAAAATCATTGTAATACACATGGTCAGCAGTTGCACTAAAAAACTTGGAGGCTGGCTGATGAAAAAGTTCCACCATCGAAGCAATAGTGTAAAATAATTGGAGTGGTCTGAAACACCTTTGAATAAAACCCTTCAAGTGCTTCTCTGGGGAGTTTTGTCCTTGTCCTTCAGTTCTATAGTTCATATATTCTTGGCAAAGGCTATCTTAATGTCTTCCCCCCAACACACTTCAGAACATGTGACTGCTCCCTTTCTTTTTTCACCTTTCATTTCAAGATGTTTAATTTGTATTTCGTGAAAGCACGTGAATTGGTTAGCATATAAATGAAATTAGGATAAGCAGTTTTGTCACTGTGGTAGCTTCTCTCATCCTCAAGATTTCTAAAGCATCCTCAACTGAGTTCTGCATAGCATTACCTGCTTTCAAATCAGCAATTTGAAGTAGGAAGGTAGCATTAAGAAAAGTAGTTTCACTGCTGATAATCACTCTTCTATATTTCAAACAAAAAGGACTTCCTAATAGCAGCCTTACTAATGAATTATTGTACTTGTAGTCATACAGGTTTCTAAGGTTGCATTTTCCTGATTTATACTTGAGGTCTCTCTCTGCACTAACAATTCTTAAGGTCATCATCATTGCCTTTCTGTATTGCTTGTCATGCATATCTTATTGGAGTGCACAGCTTAAAAGCTGTGGAGTTTGAGAGTATCTGCAATATTTAACACTTCAAATACTGCTGTTAGGAACCTCTAAAATGAAAAAAAAAAAGACCCAGTATGTTCCAGAGGTGCCATCTAGTGGAGTAGCGAAGTCCATGGCTGTTGCTGTGTATTGCTGACATATGTGACAGGGTAGCTTTGCTGCATAAATTTATTTATGTTAGAGTAACATGGTAACAGTAATTTTATTTTCAAATAAATGAAAACTACTCTGTTCCAGAAGGAAGACACTGTCAGGATCCATAGAATAAACACCAGCCATTTTACTGCTGGTCCCCCCTGATTTCCCTAACTGTATAAGGAATAGTAGTTCTTTTCTTTGTATTTTGGAAACTAGCTTAAATTTACATAGTCCCCCAGTAATTATATGGGGGGGTTCAATCTAACAAAAAGCTCTCCAAGCTTCAACAGATTTTGACTGCCCCTGGTGGTCGCTTTAAGAATTCCAAACTGACAAGAAATACTATCAGAAAGGTGGTGTTACTTATGTTTTAAAATACCAGGGATTACTTTTGCATTTTTTTTTCCTAGAAAGTAATTAAGTTACTAAGCTTAAGCCAGATTTAATCAAACTCTTTTCTCTTTCCACTAGTGATAAGATCCCTGCAATGTTAGTGTTGCCAACAATATGCAGCAACTCATTTCACATGTAGCTACCAAGTTGATCTGAGCACTTATGTGTGTTTACACAAGGCATATAAAACCTACTTCTCTGTGCCACATTACAGAAGGTCAAAAAGAAAAACATTGAACCTAACTGATGTATGCAAATAAATCTGAACTAAAGCAGCATTGTTTTCACTCTGGATATGTGCTTATAGAGTTCAATTATTTTGCAGACTGGAATCTACATGGATTACGCAGACCTATCTTCATTGTTCTGGGATTTGGTCACAGGCTGGTTTCCTCTGGTAAGCTGAACTTAATTATTTTGAGAACAAAGCAGCTATGATGCAATATAGGACCTTACACATTACACATTTAAGATACAAGCAAGTGGAGTTAATTGCTAGTGTGCATCTTAAAGAGAAGCATTTTGAATAATATATCTGTAACCTTTGTTGTCTGCTTCCTTTGTTGTTACCTTCACTTCTCTACCATCATTCCCCCTCTGTTTTGTTTGATGTTGGCATGCCCCTTCAGAACAGGCACTTTTTCTTGCTTTGGTTTAGACTGTTAGTTAACCAGAGACCCAAGCCATATCACTTACATTTCACGGTTTTGTTCCCCACCCCTCCCAAGAAAACCACATTCAGAAGTCAGGTACTTAAGATTGGTTTGGTTTTGGGCATTTATTAGCAAAAATCAGATCTTTAACACTGGCAACAGCAGACTTATTTCCTGAGCCAGAAACATCAGGCCATTTAGGTTAATAGGTACAAGGCATCAGTTCTTGTCTGTACAGCCATCACTGGACATGAGGGTGCATAGTCTCCTGTATATTTCCTCCATGTAGGAACCAGTACACATATTCAAGCTCTCTTGAAGACCTGTTTACATACTTGATTCTCACAACGAAGCTCCTACCAAAAAACCAAACAAGAGTATAGTTGTATATAGTAATCAAAGGAACTGCTTCTAGAAGTGAACATAGATCCTTTGCCATGACTACTGACCACAACTCTGCTGCCATGCTAATATATTCAGAATGTTAAGCATAACTTAACTATACAAGACAGTGAAACAATGAAGTTATTCCAGCTAAACTAAAATCAAAGCAGAATGTGCTCCCTATGTACCATCCATTACAAATACTACAGAGCTAGAAGATGACTTGTGCACACCACGACCACATTATAGATCTTATTTTTGTCATATAGAGACAGAATTAGTAGAAATCTGAAATAAATACCAGATGGAGGTCATCTCCTTCAAGCCAGTGAGTCCAGCCCCTGTTGTTCTTCTCACCAATCTGGACACAAACAAGTTTGTCATTTTCCCAGGTAACTATGCTCTGTGGAAGAGGAAACAAAAAAAAGAAGAGTGTTTCTGTGTGTCTTTGTCTCAGTTCTGCAATATACTCACAGACATATCCTTTTTTCCTGGATAAAAGGGGACCTAAATACTACTCCTGAGGGAAAGTGAAACTCCTTGTCTGTAACTCAGGCTCCTACCTCTGTGTTACATTACAAATAGTATTCTTGAAAAAATTTCAGCTCGAGTAGCTGGATTGATCATGGCATGTTAATTTTGTCATGGCCTCCTGATTTTATATATTCAGTCTTACCTTACATTTTCTGTTATCCAGGCCTTTATTATCTTCTTCAAACTCTTCTCCAATTTTGAACTGAGTCAAATAATCTCTGAATGTGCTAGTGGTATGGATATAAAAGGAATCACCATCTTGTTTGATCACTTTCTGAGGCTTCAGCATTTTTGCTATCTTGCGTGTTGCAAAGTCAATACCTTGGACAGGAGGCAAAAAGGTCAGAGTAGTATTTATCACCAGCCATTTTGACAGCCAGGACTTACCTTTTTTACTACTAGAATAATTCCTTAGATAGTTTGAGCTTACTGCTGTGCAGGGTTTTGTTGTTTGTGTGTGTGTGTGTTTAAAGCTGTATGTTACACAGATCAAATCATGTTCTTGTACATTTTACTCTTTGGAAACCAGTTTACTCAATTGTTGCACAATTCCTATGCAAGATTTCTAGGACTTTGAGTCAGAAGTCCTTTTAGGAGTCAGGGAGAGTTGGTTTCCCCCACACGCAGACACCCCAAGCTTGGTCTCAGACTTAGCTTGTGCTTAGCTAGAGGGAATAGTTAGTGCCTATTCTCATCCTTTGTCAGAGGAAAGGCATTATGTGAATTAACAAGAAATCTTTGCACCCTATTCCTTAAATAGGGTAAAATGAAGGGCAGTCCTAAAATGAATTACTCTGGCTTGTTTTCAGGACATGCCACCTGCTATTAACACTTTTTAGGTGCAGCTAGAAAACACCACACTTGTCAAAAGATTTCCTGGTTATCTGTAATGATCAGTCACCTTTAACAGAATCCTAATGTTCTCAGTAATACTGAGCTTAAAGCAATGCTTCTAGAGGTTTTTTTCTATTTCACTAGTGAATGGTCATTTCTTTAGAAGAACAGGCCATCTATTTGGCAGGCAACTGAATTATACTGCATCCCAATAGCATGCTCAGAGCTGGGTTTTCAGGAAGGGGGATGGGTAAAATGGGGGGGCTGTGTATTATTAATTTAGTTGTTTTCATCATCTAGATTAAAAGTGTCATTTTATAGGACCACTAGAAGTTTCTCACTTTATGCAGGCTGAGGTTGTGATCTTCTTGACAGGGTGTGTTCAGCTACCATGTGTTGAACCATATGGCTCATTATGCAGTCTGTGTTTGAAGTGGGACTTAATTACTGTATGCATTACAGACGTGCCAGAATCCGTCTGTCATATTTTTACATGGTTCCCAGTTTATTTTAGCATAGAGGGGTTTGAATTCAGTACTGACAACAGCCATACCCATTAAGCCTTAACATGGTTATAAGAATATATAAATACAAGCTACTCATAAATCTGTTCTTTAGACGTAGATATTAAATTGAAGGAAAGGCTAGGCTTGGAATAGCCATGTCCTTATCTGTAACCATCTAGTTACTCAGCTGATCAGATATTAGCCGCCTCAGTCTACTTATCCTGTCAGAAGGGTTTTTCATTCTAGCTCTACAGTATTGGTTTCAGTCCTTGTTTTGTTCAGTATACTGGCAACCAAGCAGGAGTAATTAAAGATAGGCTGTAAATCATCAACAGGATTCTTTGCCTTTACTTTTAAAAAAGTTCCCCCAATTACATGCTGAAAACAAATTGCATTTTTCACAAGACTGGCAGTTATGTTTCATTAAAAAAGCCCCTTACTTAGCTGGACAATGTTTATTATCAAGGAACAGAAGAATCTCTGTTCCATTTGAAGACATTAACACATTAGCAATATATGACTTCAGTATTCAAACTGAGCAATAAATCTGCATTATGGGAGCACCCTTTCCTTTTTTTTCCCCTAACTGATAACATAACAGGATTAGAAACAGAGAAGAGTTCTTTCACCATGTTAAAGATACCAACTAGGCAATTTAGGTAGGTCACCCATCATAGATGCAGCCAGAAAATAGATTTCATTCTAGTTATGTGTACAATAACCAACAAGGGACACTGCTGGTTATCAGTTTCCGCAAGTCAAAAAGGCAGAAAGGGGTGGGAGAGGCAGGGAGAAGAGAAGGCAGCACACAAGGTTGCCTGCTGTCACAGTCTGTAATGAGCTCTGTACAAGAAAGCTAATAAAGTACCAAGAACTTTCTTAGTTCCCCATTAAAGCACTGTTAATTTCTCTAAAAGATCTGAGCAAGGTAAGAGGTTAGCTTCAAGCACTCCAGAAAGGGGACAGTTAGAGAGACTTATCAACAAGTCACAGTAATGAGAGAAGTATTTTGTAAGCTGTTTAAAGATAAATGACACTAAGAGAAACAACTGCCTGAAGTGGCAAATACCCAAGCACTTTTTTTGTTACTTAACATGTAATTAACCCTAGACATAAGTTCTGTAAGTTTGTGTGCAAAGGCAAGAGAAAATGAGCAGACAGGGCAAAGTTTTCCCTCTCTCTGATGAAAGCTATACAAAAATTCTACTTTTAACAAGAACTAGGCTGAGAAATTCCTGAAAGCTGCAAGGACACTTGGGTGACAGGCTGAAGAACAGTTAATGCTGTCTGTTCATCAATAAACAAAGAGCCTTCCATTGTTTTTCAGAGGAAAAAAAGCTTTGGCAATATCTAGGTTTTAGAAGAACTCAGACTCTTAAAATCCAGGAGGACCCTTATAGGGGAAGAATAGAATCAGGGTTTTTCACCTACCTAAGGCCACCATATAACCTTCAAAGTTGTCATTGCTGATAAGGTTCCAGGTTCCACTGAAATCCACAGGCATTGCCAGACTGTGGCAAGAAGGCACAGTCAACCTCTGACCAAAAAGCAAAAATGAAGAAGTAGTTTTCCAACCAGGCCTTATATAAGGAAGACTGGGGGTGGGATTACATCTGATGGAGGGGAAGGGTACTGTTACTGAGCCAATAGGTGAGAGGGTATTTGCAGATCAGCTTCAGCTGTATTGGAGGGAAAAGTTCACAGTTTCTGAAATCTTTGTGTGGAGCAAATGTTAATAGCCCAAGAGTTACAATGCAAACGAAAAAGCGGTTTATACCGTTTGTGTCTGTCTTGTATACTTTGAAGGGAATCATGGACGCATTTTGTCATTACTAAAATTCCCTGCATGTATATTAGATCTGTGGCTTTATGATCTGAAATCTACATATTTGTTGAAAAGGTGATCTACCCGCTATAAATACACACTATATCTGAACAGACAGGGATTGACTGTTAAACTGTAGACGGTATTGTATCAGCAAATTTTCAAGCAGTACCTATGACACAGTAATAGAGATAAGTATTGTATCTCGTTGGTTTATGTCTGGAGTGAATAGTAGGCAGCATTGCTGTCTAGTGGTTATAACAGAAATTGAAAGACAAATCTTGTTTGTTTATGTTATTCTCTGATGTGACTCTCAACACAGCTCTACTGTGCCACAGTTTACCTATTTGTTATGAAATAGGTAAACTGTTCTTATTATAAAGAAACCTATTCTTTAATGCTGCTAGTTACATCCTAGTTAAATGAACATGCATACACAAAATTATTTTCCCAGATGCCTTACCAGCCAGAAACTTTGTGTAACGCTTAGGCATGAGACAGCAGATCCAGAGGCCTGATCTCTATTCCCAGTTCTGCAGCTCTGTATTTATCAGTTTTCCTAGATGGGGAAGAGGACGAATACCTGTTCTTGCAATCCACTTTCAACTCCTAAAACTAGCCAGTAACAACAGCAAATTCAAAAAGTAGTCTCATGTATATAGAAGATTACTTAATAAAGGAAAGCTCCCTCCTTTGCTTTTTATTCTTGACACATGCAATGAAGGAGAGATGATACAGAAGTTATTCCCACTGATACTTTATTAGATGCTATACATTGTGGCAGAGCATATAGTGCATAGAGCACAGGATGCAGCCGGTAAGCTTCGGTGTTGGACTTTATCTTCAGCAAAGAAAGTGAAAGAAATCTCTTAAGTGATGACCCAGCAATGTGTTTTGAGAAGTGAATAAAGAATGCTTGACTTCAAAAAGAAAGGCTCTATAAGGAATTTGGAAGTGAGATTTTATTTCCTTTAGAAGATACGTAATTCTCCAATCTCTTGCAGTTCCTCCATCTGTGGTTACTTTTTGCAAACTCTATGCCTTATTGTTACAATTTACCAAGTGAGAAATACAAATTGAATAATCCTGAACAACTAGGCACTCTAGAATTGGTAGGTACAGGAGAGCTAGATAACCTTGTACCTCAGTTTCCTCTTTGGTAAAATGGGGAAAACAATCATTCCCGAAGTCACACGTATGTTTTGAGCATTAGCTTAATCCCACATTTTAAGTGGTCAGATGGGGCAGTAATGAGCACCACAATGAAAGCCATGTTAAAAGAAAAACCCAAAATTGATGGGCAAGGGAAATCTTAGCTGTGTTGCTACCATAGTAAAAAGTAAAAGCGAATTTGGTATTCTGGCTCTTGAATGAGGAAGCTCACCGACAGCTACTACATTTATCTATTTACTGACTTGGGTTAGGCTGAATAAAAAGATAATATTTTGCAGAGAAAATTAAGTTTCCTTGAACTTTAGCAACATTTTTGGAGCTGACAGTTTGACCTATATGACTCACAGAATCATGCGAGTAGGAAATTAGGACGTCAAACTTGTTTCCTGTTCGCAGATGGACATTGTTCTCTAACCTATACTAAACTAGGAATAGGACAGAGAAATGCAAATTAATGTTTCCCCTGGACTCAAATAGTAACATTTCACCCATAATTTGTTATTACGAGGTTATGATAGTAAAGCACTGTTGCAATACTACTGAATTCCAAGTAAAGAGAAGTCAGTACTTGGGTAAGTCCTGTGTAAAAGCCTGGATATAACATTTTAATTGAAAATTAAGATTATGCAGATTGTCTGGGATATGGTGCTTCTTTCTGTAAATCAGTACTTAATCTCAAACTAAGACTTGTAAAGGGTCCTAGGGTTACTATTTCAAGGCTCAGCCAAAGAATTGCTATGGAACTTTTTGTAAGAATTGCTAAGTGCCCTGGCCACATCCTATGATGGTTCATTTCTTTCTCCCTTACAAATTCTCAATTTTCTTTTTGTGGAAAGAATTTTTTTCTATTTCCATCTTAATTGCTGTGCAGCACTGAGCATCTAACACATTCCATTAAGGATGTGGCCTCATTACAGAAGTAGATAAAGTGGTTCCTGCTGCTGCTGCTGCAGTATTTATAAAATATTTTGAGTCTGAATTACACATGGTATAAGGGCCCTACGTTCTCTTAACAGAGCAGAACCAAATGCAGTGATGTAAAAAAAAAGCCTCAATTTTACTTTTAGAGCATCTGTGAATGCATTATAACTCTTTTATAAAGTTCAGCGAACTGTATTATTCACAAACATTCAAGTATATAGATTCTCTTTTAGATCTAGTCCACTCTTGAAAGTTATACCTGTCTAACATTTTTGAATAGGCCACATCACTGACTGTGATGCTGGTATTTATAACTGATTGGAACAGTAGATTGTCAGTGTGCACTTACTTCTAGTGTTGAAACAGGCAGGTTTCTGGATCCCACTAGTAAAACAAAAGATCCACATTCAGCAGTCAGTGTAATTTTTGAACAGTATTGTTTTCTATAGACAAAACTCTACGGACATCACTCCGCCTACTTAAAAATCATGCAAAGTCATCAGATTTGGTTAATAACAGGATGGCTAAAATTAGCATATTACATGCAGTTTATTTTATTGAAAGATCCATCACACGTAACTACATTAAAACCCAGTGAAATATAACTGCTTGAAGACCAAAGCTTTATAAAACATCCTATTGAATTCACAGTTTCTCTAGATTTACACAAAGTGCACCAACACACACCAGCATCATTATTTGGAAGAATAAACCTAGACTTAAAGTGCAGCTTTACTCTGAAAAGTGACCACGTAAATAGGGTGCTTTCCCATTAGAAAGACCTGCTCTGTTTATTCAGAAGCACACTGGTTGACTTGAGCACTGAAAATAAATCTTGCCCTCTATTCTTGTCAGTCATAAAGATAGACAGCAAGCAAAAGAGAAAAGAAGATCTTGTCCTTTCCCGCGCACCATCAATAATATAGTTCTCTTCCATCAATTATGGCAGTTTGATTGCTGATAAGGTGTCACAGAGGGCGTAATTTACCTTTCAGTACCTTTATTATTATTGATGATAAATGAACCCAGCATCATTACCAAAGGGAGGTGCAAGCTTGCCTCAGCTCTAGGGGAAAAAATGGCAGACTGAGCACATTTGATGCAGGAATGACCAAGAAAAGAAACTAAGAATCCTTGACGCTACTTTCCGTCACAGTGCAGTTAGAGATGCACTTCTAAGTTGTGACTTGATTTTATTACACTAATCTCCTTGTAGATTCTCTGTAGACAGCCACCTTTACAGGCGGAGCTAGCAGAACACAGATGTTCTAGTGTATGGTAATGGCAGAATTTCATCTGGGGCTCGAAGTTTGCATGCCCGATGCTGGCTCCACTGCGGGTTACGTGTTTTCCTGATAGTGTCTCGACTCCCCTGCTGGGTTTTATATGAGCCTTGTAGGCCCTAGGGCTACCTGTGATGCTCTGTGTTTGGCTTTTGGCTTCCAGACTCCCCCGAAGCTCCTAGGGAAGCCTACACTTCTGCCTCAGCATTTTGGGGATCCCCTGCCCAGGGAAGGAGGATGACGGGTTGTCACGGTTACGATCCTGGAACATGCCCCTGGTTCTAGACTTGCCCAACAGCATCTAGGCTTCCTGCCCCGAGAGTCTCACATTCTGCTGGATTTGCTGATCTGAAAAATGTGAACAGAGTCATCTCGTAGAGCTCGTATGAAAAAGCTGTTGACCCATTAGGTAGCATCTTGGAAACCTTGACTTTTTTAATAAGGCACACAATCCAAACAAAAATGGGATGACAGCAAATAAAGGGAGGTAGAATTCTATCACCATAACATTCACAGTGCCTCTCTAGTTTATATTCACATAAAACAGACAATATACTGTTATATTCAAAACCAGATTTCTAGCAAAGAAAAACATTTCACTTATGTACAGTCGTAATATCCTACCATTTCTTCTCAACCCCAGTTACAGAAAACAATTCTGGCTATATACATTTGGCTCAAAAGTAAAAGCTCATTTATTATTTGTAATAAAGGGACAACTGTCTAAGAATCAGTGCAATGACACTTTTTAATTTCTATTCATTAAATCAATGGCTGTAAACCAGTTTCTGAAGTAGGTCTGTCCTTCCATGAGAAACTGAAGTGCTGGGCTTAACACACAGCTCTGGAAACACGAATGGAAAAGTAAAGCAATAGGCATTTCTGGGAGCAAATTGCATGACGGCAGACAAACAGGCTGCATATTTGAAAGGCAGGCAACTCAAAGCATGGTATATCTAGCACCACTTCAGCCAGGAGTAAATTTTTCCCTTCCAGGATAGAGCTAAATAATTTCTTTAAGGTGCACCACATGTTGGCAATTTTTAAAAAAAATGAGTTAGATAGATTTACTATCAGTAAGTGGTACATTTTGAAATTAAATGGATTTGTTAAGACACTGTAAGTTATGAAAAATATTTGTTATTATTTTATAAATAGCAGCCAGAGCAGTCTGAGTTAAAACTAATCAGAACATTTTCATTTGTTTTGTTTGTTAATTTGTAATTCTCATATGCAAGTGTGAATTCTTATACTTAGTACACTGCACCACGACAAAATGTTTAAACGTGAAAATCTTATTGTTGGATTTAAAAAATATTGTGCAGGTCCAATTATTGAGTGCACCAAACCTCAACAGCAACTACATATGTACTAAAGCCACAGAATTACTCCGCTATTTATGTAAAAAAAACCAAACAAGAAAACAACCTCCAAACCCCACATTTTCCTCTACTGAACTGTAGCTTTTTTTCACAGCAGAAAGTAAGTTAGTTGTATAGTGCCTGTTAGTTCTTGGAATCACTTGCATGTTTCTGTAAGGGAGCCAAGACAACCCCAGCATTCATGTCCTCACTCTCTGGACTATACAGCTTATTTTTTTCTATGTATGCTTGAACTACATCAGGCACTAGGTAACGAATGCTCTGACCCCTCCGCAGTGCTCTCCTAATCTTGGTGGAGGAAATGTCATTTGTGATCCATTCTTCCACAAGGTGAATGTTATTCTTATGCCTCCACAAAATATCAGATTCATAGATGAATTTCTGAACACTGTTTCCAGCCCTACTGATGCATACGAGGCCATGATTTTCCACAATTTCAGTGATGTCCTCCGACTTCCACAGATTGGGGATCCCAAAAGATTCCAGCATGTCACTTCCACAAAGCAGCTTAACCTGTGGGACACCTTAAAAAGAAAAATAAGTGAGAACCAGGGCTTGGTTTAGGCCACCAGATTCTAGCTAACTTGACATTTAATTTTATGCTACGTCTCTGTATCTTTGGTTAAGATGAGACAATGGAATGAAATAAAAAAATATTCAGAGTACATAATTTATTATTAGTAGCCTCAATACAGGGTGTTTCTGAAGAAAGGTTATGGGAGTCCATTCAAAAGGACTGAAAAAGGAACTCCAATATGGTCATTTAGCCTCGGGGTGAATCAATCACTGTGAGGATCAAAGTAAAAGAAAATATAGAGAAAATTCCAGAATAGCTAAGTATGAAAGGATACTGTAATGCTGTTAAAACTTCATGTGACATTCCACAGAGTTGCAGAAGAGGAGACAGCTCTTAACAGGACAGGGGGCAGAGGGGATTATGTAAAAAGAAAGAAAATACAACCGAAAAAAACCCCGCATAGATTATGTGACCTGACTTCAGGGGACTCTCTTCCATACTATGTTTTATAGGGAATTTAGAGAAGCATGTGGATAGAAACCACCTTACAGTAATGGAAGCAAAATCGAGAGTGCTACAGATCTGCAGCTTCCAGTAATGTCACAGGGCGGTAGGAATGTAGTAGAACATCTGACAACACAACATAAAAAAAGCCTGCCTGATGCTGCTAGTCTTTTGTTTGAATACATTTACTTTAAAACACTATCAGTTAAACATTAGAATTTGGAAAGGTTCAAGGGAAGAAGTCAGGCAGAAGTCAAGATTTGGTAATATAAAGGATTAAGATGGTCATTATGCAAGACCGTTCAAATTCTATACGAACACATATAATTGTACTTTTAGTTCTTTAGCTTATCATGTAAGATCTAAAAGCAGTAAGCAAAATACATGCTACCTAAAATTACAAATTCAAGCTACGTCTGTTGTATGAAGTTTCAAATTACATTTTAAAATGATCCTGTACCCAGATACATTTTGAATTTCAGGACTTAATCCTATCCTTTCTTTCTTCAACAACTTGTAACATGATCCAAAATTCTCAGCTGTAACTACAGTTTAGCAAAGTTCTGTAGGTGAAATGGATAGCTCAGACCTTCTTCAGTTCCAATGTCTATTATCTTGAGTATTTTTCATGGCCTATATATTTTACCCTTACAGTCGTCCTGTTACAAAGCCTACTGCTTTATGCTGTGGGAGCTAAGGGAATAAACTTATTCAGTGAAATCAGAACCAAGAACTAGCATAAAAAAAGTTACTCATCAGTGCAATTCCCTTGAAATAGCAAGTATTGTTAAGCACTTAATTTGCAAACAGACTTAACTTTTTATATCTGGACTCTGATTTTTCTTTTTAACGGGGTCATGCCTATTTGGTTCCTGTTTCCTCTTCCGTCCTGGCTTTGTTAAAGGTATAGCATTCTGCAGACTATTAGTGGGACCAGGAGATAAAAGCTTTTGATGATGGTACCTGCAAAACAGATGTATTTTAGGTATTTTACAGATGTAGGAAAATATAGGGAAGAGTATGGCCTACTAAATAATCTATCACCACTTCCTCCTGCAGTACTTTCACAGACAATCCATCTAAGAACTGGTCTGCTGGAACAGGGACTTGTGAGAGCTGGGTCATAAGATGGTCAGAATGCAAAGATTTCAAAGCAACAACTACAAGGTTGGTTTGTTTCTTTTTTTAATAAAAATGTGTTTTAAGAAGAAGAACCTCAGTGAAGTAGCAGTGACTGAAAGAGTAAAAAATGAAAAACTTAAAAAAAGATATTCCTTCAGACAATTCTCATGGCAGCCTTTAAATACACAAATGGGCAGCATAGCACAATCAGAATCAAATGAGGGAAGCTTGTGTAGCATGTGCCTACCCTATCCTAGTCTCTTGTCCTTCCTCATGAATATCTTTTCAGCACAAAAATTGAACAAAGCCTAAGAAACAATGTATCTTAAGAATTGTTCACAGGCTCATCTTTTGTACGCTTAGGGTTAATGGCGCAATCTTTCATTTACAATGCTCATATAAATAGTACTTCTGAATTCACTGAGTCTATTCATATGATTTGGGGTTAGCCTGCTATTATTCTAACTTGTTAGAGCTAACACCATTCCTTATCCTTCTATACGTTCTTGAGACTTTTTAGGGTTTGGCTGAAGAATACCTTAAAACTTTTAGTGTTTCCAACCACTCACTCTGGCTGCTTTCCCAATCATCAACTTCCACCCAATCTGAGTCTTTTGTAGCTAGTTTTGCCATAGTTACTCGGTGATGTGCACTGATCAGACCTTTCTTCTTATATGCATCACCTACTGGTGAAATTATTCCTTTGATTACTTTGTATTTTCCTGTGGAAAAAACACATCACACAAGAACATAAGAAGTGTTTGAGCAGATGTTACTTCCACTGTATTGTATTTAAACTATTACATAACCGTTATTCACTGCAATCTCTAACAGCACCAATGCCAGCTCTGATAGCCAGCCCAGTGGAAAAGTACAGTGTACTTCTGCCATTGTGCAAGGCAGCACAGTTAAAGACTTAGTAAGATATATTAGAAAGATATATTTCTATAAAGAAAAACTACAAACCTCATGATTTAGCTCATTAAATTTAGTAATAAGCAACATGTGTGTAAGACTGTTCTCTCATGTATTTGGCCTACATGATTTTCTATGATACATCACACATCCTAGCTTCAACATCTAATTAGTATTTCCAAAAGTATCTGTCACTGTCAAACAGGCATTCATATACACAAAATATTCACCTTAATATTCACCTTTAAGTGTCTAGTTACCAGAGCTGTTTTGAATGATATAAATTACCATCCTACCTGTTTCGTGAAAGTAGTCTTTAGCCAGCTCAAACAGCCTTAGATGCATGTTGGTAATGGGATTGAAGGACCCACAGGCCAGCAGTACTACTTCAGTCTTCTTGTCAGGGTCTTCCATAGCCATTCCTCACAGCTACAGAGCCAAGTGGAGAATGTTGGTGCTAGGTACCAGCCACTACAAGAAGAGACCAGATTAAAAAATACTTATTCCGACTTATTAGTGCTACCAATAAGCAGAAGATTTCAAGATCAAATTGAAGACTGCCTTTTCCTTCCATCAACATTTGGCCTGTGATTGTTCATGTGATAACTGCATTATCCAATTTTTAAGAGATTAAAACGACTGCCTCTAAGTTCTTTTTGGTTATCTCTGGACAGAGGTACAAGGCAAGGAGCTGAGACAACAGTGGCATTATATTGCAGAAAGGAGGATAATTCTTCTGTGGGGCTTCAGAAATCAAGGATGTAGAGAAAAGTGAGTGTGCTAGGAAGAAGACATATGTAATAGATAAGTGAACTCAAATTTGCCTTGCCCAGGTATTATCAAAGCAGCTGCGACTCGCTCCTATATGCAAGAGGAAACGTCTTTAAAAATGAAATCATTCAAAACGGGCTGCTTGCCTGAAGAGAGGACAGCCTACTGCCCACTGAAGAAAAGCAGCGCATGCAGAAAAACTTCATGAAGAGAGATTATTTGTCCTGATTGCAGGACAAACGTTATTAGAACTTCGCATTTCTTTTAAGATGCCAATGCCCATCAACTGCCAAGAGACACATCTGCAGGGAACTTCCTTGTAAGTAACTTCCTTATAGGTAACTTCCTTGTTGCTAGTGCTTACGGGGGGAACAGAACATCCTATAACAGTTCCCAGTGCTGCTACTCTAAATTGCAGTGAGACTTTTCAGCAAACACTACAGAACTAACATTATATTGTATTAAATTCTGGAGGAGAGGAGGGTTAACATTTCTCGTTTGGGATTTATTTACATGATCTTGGTATGTGGGAAGAGAGTGCTATGGACTAAACATGAAAACAGCCAATCTACTTCGTGTTGCAGAAAGTAAGTGGTAGGTGTACCAGCAGAAGAGATGATAGGAGAACAGTGAATTTAAAAAAGTTTAGTGAAAACTGCAATTAAATACCAGATTTTTTTTTCTTTTTTTAAAATACAACAGCACTATTCCAATTTTGAACTTCAGCTTCAGAAAGCTGCTTAAGAATTGGTGAAAATAAGTAGATTTCACTACTTATCTTTTTCAACACTACATGGATTTTTGCTTCTCAGTGTTCTTTTCTTTCATGAGAACATTCTGGCTTGCCAAGATGGTTTCCCCTAGCCTGACCCTGAACAAATGAAAACTGGAATATGTTATGGGCCATTCTCCTGGTGTTGCTGTTTGTGAGATGTCTGAGACATCAGCGTGGAGCACTGAATAGTCTGCCATTGTTTCTACAGCAACATCACTGCCTGGAAAAATCCCACAAGGTCACCCTCACATTCTGTCTCCTTTACAAAGAAGCTGAGCGATGGTCACAGCCACCACAGTGGTGAGATATCATCAGAGCTAAATCTTGTAACAGCTACTATGCACTAACATCAAATAGCCCTTGAATAAAAGGAAGTCTTGCAAGGCTTCACATTTTGCAAGTGTTAGTACTTTTCTGTGCTTTCAAGAGTTTCACAAACTTCTAAAATATTCTTTATTACTGCAGAGTAGTTCAGCATTTGAAGGTCTTGGTGTTACTTGGCATGCAGTCTTCACCGGGGCATGAGCTAGAAGAGTTACTATGGGAACAGGCAAGGAAAGGAGTTAGACTTGCCTTTGTAATGCATAAAGCCCTACTTTCTAAAGAAAGTGACTCATGCTGCAAATTTGAAAAGGCTTGATTTTCTCCTTTAAAAAAAAAAAAAGCAAGGGCAAAGATAAGAGCAAATTTTAAGATGAAAATATATAGTGCCTTTTTCTGGAGTTAGTTGAATGTCCTTTTTCATGCTCCTAACTAATTTTACAATCTTCAGAAACAGGCAATTATTGCATCACAAACTCACCTTGTAGCGCTTCGTAACTTCATAGAAATTGAGAATGGAAATATAATTTAATAGTTTGCACATACCGTCAGTCTCCTAGTTTGCATTGACATCCTCTGTCTAGCACTGTTTTCACAGAAAACAGCTGCATGGTTGATGTGGGGAGCAGAGGAAGCGACAGAGGTATCATCACACGATTGCCTTTGCTGTTGTGTCATCCTTATAACCAGCACAGCACCGTCAGAGCTGGCATCTGCTTTCTGCGAGAGGACCTTCATAGGGCTCTAACTTTTTGGAGAAAGCTATGCATTTTGCACATCCCAGGAGAGAAAAAGACTAGGTTCCAGTGATGATTAAAGCCCAGCCACTGCCTGAGCTGTATACGAAACTATGCTTATTCTTATTGTATAATAACGTTTAAGTAGTTTTGATGAATCATGTGTAGTTTGGCACTGCTTGACACAATTCTAGTTATTGCAGTTTGACCACAAGATCCAAACTAGCAGCCCAGCTCCTGCTATAGAGAGATGAGAGATCTGTATGCAGACGTTTAGTTTCACAAAACTGAGAACAGTGTTAAAATAATTAATGCTATCTCATGCCAAATACTAAATGAAATATTAGTAAAACATCGCTACAGAGACTTAAGGACGGGAAACGGTAAAATGGCCTTTACTCAGATTTTCTGTAAGTGTAGGACATCCTGGATCATTTTCCCTTGTCCTTCAGAAGGAAAAATGAGGCGCCTGGTGATGTAGTCCTTTACATACGTGCTTATATATAATCTCATCATGCTTATACATAATCTTACCAATGTTTAGTGTGCACTACTTGCAGTCCTGCTAGTCCTCGGCTGGATCGGACACGTGTTTGCACTAAAGCCCGTGGGAGTATGCCCACAGCTGGGAGGGTTCTGAAGGCCAGCCTGCTCGGGACGGGCAGGTCGGCCCATCTCATTCCTGTTTCCGGGGCCAGGCTGCAGTACGCGCGCTTGGGCGTCTGCAGGACACCAACATCGCTGAGCGCCAAGCTGCGGGCGCGCGGGCCGAG